ACTGTCGCAAAACAGGGACTTGCAACATTTAACTCAAATTGTTTCTCAAACTGACAAAAAGAAAAGAAGAGAATCCAAAATAACCAGTCAGATAGAATGATGTCACAGCAGACTGTCCAATAATATTCAGTCTGCAGTAAACAAGTTGAGGAGATGAGGATGGTGTTATCACCATAAAAACTAAACTGTTGACATCCTGTTTACATTACTTGTATGCCATACCCCTTGACTTCCTCATCCAATAAAGAGAATATATTGCACATTTATAGTACAGCACATAAATGCAATTGACTCAGCATAATGAGATAATTAGATCACATTATTTATCTACTGTAACATTAGATAATCAGATGATTAGATCCTTTCTCTGCTCCATTATGCTAAATTACTGTAATGGCTCAAGCTGCAGGAACTCATATCTTTCATGATCTACAAAAACAAATTATAGCAAGTAAATAGTATCAGAAATAATGTATAGAAAACAGGCAGGAATCATACACAAAGACAGGCCGATGTGAAAAACATCAACCAAAACTTGGTAACAAAAGCCTCAGACTTTGGAGGACTCTCGCTCATCTGCAGCTCCCTGACTGAACCCTTCAGGACAAGGCACAGGCAGGGAAACTTGCTGCCCTTCATGCAGCTCATACACAGAACTGAGCTTATTAATCAAATACAAGTAAAGCTGATCAGTGAGCTGGAAAACAGCAGACAGTTAGGCAGACCAGTGCTCTGTGCAGCGTCACATACAGTGTTTTCATAAACATAAGTCTGAAACTTTAAGCCATGGGTCTACAAAGTGCAATCAGTAACTTATAGTGTCCACTAACAAAGTCTGACTGTTTCGCATCCCTGCAAGATAAGGAAATGGACTAACAGATTTGTTGTCAAGTTAACTAACCGTATGATGACTTTGACAAGAAGTGTCAGGGTAAAGTTTAGAACAGTGCACCTATCTGAATGATGTGCACTGATAGTTTTACCCTTACTATCTTCTTAATGCGAAATGATCTGATAGAGATGATCTATCACATTATCATATCATTTTTTCCAGTTTCCTAAAACGTGGAACATCAGGAAACGTGTATTGTGGGATGCGGAGGTTTGTAGCATTACCAAAGTATCACTTTATAATGGTGAGAGGATGTGTATGGATGAACATTGATGATGATGCTTCACTGTGGTCCTCACCCCACCCTACAGTGCTTTAAACACCACACACACACATTGCTGTGCAACAACGCACCCCAGAAGAGGGTACTTGGTGATGCCAATTCACCACCTGCACAGCCTGTCTCATTTGCAGGAAAAGTTGGGGAGCAACTGGCCTCGAACAACAGTGACAGCTCGGGGTACTAGATTTCTGATCGAGCCTCCCAGCTAGCTTGTTCATCAAATCAAACAGGGGGAGAGCTAACGACACACCGGCCAGACAGAGAAACATACTTTTATTGGGCTCCACTCTGACTGACAATACATGTAACAGCTAACACGGGAGTCACGATGAGTGGGAGAGAGTGTCACTCCACGGGGACAGAGACATAGCGGACTGGCGCTGTGGCCCCGGTGGATGATGGATGGGTGGCCGGGCTAGCCTGCTCGCAGCTAACTTAGCCGTGTTAGCTTAGCTCTGCAGTCTGGCGCAGCTTGGAAGCAGCTCCAACTCTGCACAGCAACTTCCCCTTGCCTGGCACAAACTCAGACCCGGACAGCCCGACTAGCGTTTAGCCACACCAGCTAGCATAACCAGAACATTCTTCCTGACGCCTACGACTAAAGCATAAAGGATTAAAAACACACCAGTGCACACAATAACTAAGGGGGTCCTACCTGCAAATGCAGTCGCTAAGTCGCCGTAACGTTACTTGTTTCAAGTCTGTGATGTTGTGTTGACAGACGTCAAGTCCAACTGCACTACAGTGGTTTCCAGTCTGGGAAGCAAAATAAAGCCCAGCTGCCCTACTGCACCGTACATGCTGCTGACGCGCACTACGTGAAGCTTTGGCGACACATGCAGGTCCCATTCCGTATCACAGCCACAATAGTAGTTGGGCTGCAAGTGAAATAGCTCCGAAGTGTACGCAGGTCACACGCGGGTTAGGATCAGCAGTGCTCCCAGTGTCGGGACAGGTTCATTGCCTTGTCTAAGGACATTTCGTGACCATCTCTTCCCACTTCTTCTAAGGCGCTTCGGCAGAGCAATTGTTTTTAACACTGTGGTAAAAATGTCAAACCTTTAGAATAAATTCTTTTTTTGCACTGACTTCTCATAAAATTGGCGTGATTGTCATCTCACAAGTAGACAAACACAATGTGGTTCGGTTGATAATAATTATAGATGTCCATGTCTTTATATAACATACCCATTAACCATACCCAGTGCTGGTGGAAAAAGTCAGTGACCCCTGAGATTTATTAACTGGATGAGCTTCCTTTGGCAGCAGTAACCTCCAACTAGTTTCCTGTAGCTGTGGATCAGACCTGCCCAATGTTCAGGAGGAGTTTTGGACCGTTCTTCCTCACTTCTGCTCAGGCTCTCTTGAGTTCATTCTTCAGTATCTCTGCTCGGTCAAGGTCTGGACAGCCTCTGCTGAGCTCCAGCTGGTGTACAGCCACCCTGCCATTATCCTGGAAGATGCTTGATAAACTTGGGATTTTGTCTTTACCTCACTGGAAAGCTGTCCAGGCCTAGAGGCAGAAAAGCAGCCCCACATCATGATGCTGCCTCCACTGAATTTCACCTTTGGGCTGATCTTTTCCTGTTGGTAGGCAGAGCCCTGTTTACACCGTACATGAGCCCGCTAAACATTTTCTCTGTAGTGTTGTGGAGTGTCAGGGTGTTCTTTGGAGGCACCATGCACAATGATTTGCATATAATCAACTCATTAACAGAGATGGTAACCAGCTCCAGTGGTTCCTTTAAGCCTGTAGCTGTATACCTCTCTGTTGTGCCTTTGGAGTCATCCATGCTGGGCACCCACCGCTAGGGAGAGTAGTTACAGAACTACATCATTTCCATTTATAGACACGACTGTGGGCTGATGAATGTCTAAACTCTTTGAGATGACTTGTTAACCATTCTTGTATGTCTTGATCTCCATTTTGCGAGGCATGGGTCACATAAACAGTCTGTCTACATAAGATTGCTACTTTTCTTGTCAATAACAAAGAATCACAAACTTCGATTACTTGGGTTCTTTACCAAAGTAAGTCGAACACATACCTTCAATCTTATTTCACTGACTGGATTCCGGTTAGCTTTTGTTGACGTCATTATCCTTAGGATTCATACTGTCTTTAACCTACACTGGGAATGTTTGAATGATACATTCAATATGGACAATATGGAGTTTATTTCATAGTGATGGAGCTAAAATAGAGAACACTATGACCCCCCCTGAACCATAGAACTTGTAACACTGGGTTGTCAGATCTAAGGGGTCTTGGTGAGGAATAATCTGAAAAATAAAATACATAATAAAAATGTAAATAGGATATAGGATAGAATGAACCGAACACAAGGATGTGTACCTGCTGTACCAGCCAAACAGTTTTCAGGCTTTGGCATTAGACTTCACAAGCAATACTGTTGTCATTCCCACTGCATGCCATCAAAATTATATTTAATGCTGGTTGGATACCCTTCTTTATGCTTATCTTCCGTTTACAACTTTCAAACTTTTACTTTTGTTTGTTGCTTTTACTATTCTGTGTACACAAAAGACAAGGCAAAAAAAAGTGATCAAGAGTTTCTTAAAAGCAGATATTCAGTTAAAGCAGGCTTAATTTGAGGAAACTGTTTCATAATGGAGGTACAAGTCTAAGTTAGCATGGAAACTGATCCCTCCAGACTATTCTGGTTTAGCTTCACCTTGGGCTCAACCAGCTTGTCAAATTTCCATCACGTATCGATATGGGATATGTTTAGTTCTGTTCTTTTCTTTTTCAGTCTAAAATATTTGCACAGTATTCGAGTAAATGTGCTTCCAAATGCACTATTAAAATCAAGATAAACTCTGCCTTACTGTAATTTGTCTTCTTGAACAAAATGAAAGACACCCAGAAATCCATTCTTTAAAACTGCAGGTGTTGGCAGACAGCCAATCTGCACATACAGTATCTAATCAGTATTTTACCCATATAAAGGTGCAACTTAATACAACTGGTAGAAAACTTTCTAAAAACACTGTCTGATACTAAAGTAGGGACTTGGCTGGTGTCCCGTTGTCAGAAAATGAGTATATTGCATCTTTTACATTTTTAACTTTCACCTTAAAGTCCGCTCGCAATGAGACATCAACAAACAGTGTGCAGCAACAAACTGAGCCAACATACGAGTACCAGCTGATTTGACTTCATCTCTATTTGTGAACGTCTGAGGCGAAGTTGCCAAAATTTTTGTCATCATGTTTACTCTCTATATTGTTTAATATGTGCTACTCTGTTAACATAAACACTGCTATTATGTCTTATGTTTCTGTTTCACTGTGAATTTACCCACACAGACGAACAACCCCACACACACACGCACTCCTATGGGCAATTTAGAGACACCAATCAACCTAAGGTGCATGTCTCTGGACTGTGGGAGGAAGCCGGAGTACTCACCACTGATCCAGCTTTATGAAACTGACCGACTCTGGTTCAGTTTGTTATGTTCATTTAAGGCAGGCTTTTTACAATAAAACTTGTTTCTCAGAGACCTTTAAAAAATGCTGCTGTTCTCAATAGACTGCCCTGTAAAAATAAAGATTAACTGAATGAGAAAATAACCCATGAAACAAAATATACAGTGTGGGTTGGTGGATAGTTAGATGCCCTGTAGTGGTCTTAAATGGGTCAGTGTTCAGAGATACAAACAAAACAACAGAAGTATTGGGCCTGTCACATTAACACATCACACCCAGTGTAAAAGTCAACAGGAGGAGAAAAGAAGCATTTCTTTCATAATTCATCCTTTTGCAGTAACTATCCTTCTAAAGCAAAACTTAAATCTAAGCTATTTCATGACAAAACTTTATTTAAATTGTGTACATTAAAATAATATATTACATAATATGCTATTTAAAGCATGTGCAAATTGTAAATCATACTGTTAGGTGTCAAGGCATGTTGAGCACAGCCTATGACAATATTCTGACATCATATTAAAACTTGCTATACAAGCAGGAAAATATTGCTCAGCACTAGTGTTTTTCTATTTCCACCGTCTATCATCCAAGAAGTTAACATCTTTTTATGTACATTTCCGCATGTCAGCCCGGTTCCAAAAACATTGTCCATTTGCCACAGAGCCAAAAGAGGAGCTAATTTTCTGTGACTTGAACAGTGATTAACACCATTTTGCCATGGTAACCATACTAAGCAGGTCTGGCAAGCTGCCGAAGAAAAACCCCACCAACCCCTATGCTGAGTCAATTGCAAACACTTTAGCATGTAATAACAATCATTAACCATACTAATGTACTCTGAACTGCCCTGATCACTACTAAATCAAGTGCATCTGGGCTGTTTGGAACGAGTCTTGGAGGCTGCTGCTAAGTCAACACATGGTGCTGACAAAAGCTACTGTGCAGGTGGGCTCTGCATGATGAGGAGCCATTTCCATAGAAACGAGACAAACAGAAGATTAGGGGAAAAAATCTTATGAAATGTAGACAGCCTGAAATTAAAAATAATTTGAGCTTGTGATTCTTAAAACATCGTCTCCTGTGGCCTGAATTAATCTTGAATTAGAGAAATGATGTAATCTAGCCTGAAACAAAAATGCATATGCTCAGGTTACTTTTTCAGATCGCTAATATACAACAAGGTGGAAAAAAAACACAATGTGACTTTTCTAAACACATCTCGGCAGTCACATTACTAAATAATAGCCAAAGGTATTCTTGTAGACCAACTCCAAGTAATCCTCAACATATCCCAACTGGTACTTGCTGCCGTCTAACAGGCCATGGCAACATCACTCAGGGTTAAAGTAAATACCAGATCCAGAGTCAAGTAACAAAAAAATCATTTACACTCTGAAGTGCCAGAGTGGTGCATACTAATTGTGTGCCAGTCAGAGCAAATCACTCAGCTTCAGGCACAATTCATTTTTCATGGGTCAGCTCAGGACACCTGTGTTCTATCCAGAGGCAGACGGGGTTGTGTTGGCAGCAGTCTCAGTCAGCTCCAGTCAATCAGCTACAGTCTACATCTCCAAATATGATGACAAGAGCTATTTAAGTCCAGGGTTGCTCTTATTTGATCCTTATCTGTGTGCAGTTTCCCCTATTTTCTCTGTTACCCTCATCTGTCCCATTGTGAATAGCGCAGAGCATCCACCCAAAGCCTGTCAGAATGTGGTGGCGGCATAGGATAGTGGATGTTTCAAGGCAATGCCTCACCGGTCAGCTGAATAACAAGGTTTCCACTTGTTTCTGACTGGATGAGCAGCAAGCCAGTGTGTCCGCCTGCAGTAGTGGGCTTGAACTGGACAGGTAGCTTCAGATAGTGCTGTGATCTAATGGGTGAGAAGAATGAGTTAACCATTAACAGCTTCCATTTGAAATGTTGGAGCATGAAAACATATCAGCACAAATGCACATGCATTTTCACAGAGTAAAATCAAGTACTCTGGGGTGAACTATATGAATAATTACATAACATATGGTGGCAAATATTAAAACAGTACTGAAAAGAAAGCGCATCCATGCACACACAAAGTGTTGCAGCGTAACAGACACTACATGGGCCAGCAGTGCTACACTGTCCTGTGTCTGGTGAAAATGAGAGCACAGGAGCAGTCTCAACATGCTGGGATCACCACAGGGTTACCACAAACCCACACATGGCAGGGCTTGCAACACACCTACTGTAGAGCTGGGTCAGGTTCAGGTTGTGACGACACATGGCAATGTTGGAGACAAAAATGTCAACGCATACAAGAGTAATCCAACACTGCATTTTCGTTGAGAATGTAAATCAGTTCCAATGTGCAGTTTTTTTTTTTCCTCTTCACACTACTCTTATTATGGATAATTTTTTCTGTTAAAAAAAAAACAACAACAAAAAAAAACCAACTACAAAATACATGTCCATCTGAACACAGTCCCACATTGACAGAGCACAGCACAGCTAGTACCTGTGGCTTGGCAACTGTTCCCTGAGGCCTCAGTTAGGCAAAACATCAGTACTCCTTGAGGACGCAAGTGTGTGCAGTATATAGTATCATCATCCTCCAGGTCCCAACAACTCACATGACCTCCAGAGTGAGCAATCGTAATAGGAAAAATAAGTTACACAGACCGAGTTACATTACACAGCAAATTTTGACTAAACATTAATACCTAGATACTCAAGTTTCATAAGAGAAATGAGTGTAGAACCATCTCTAAGCACAGACAACAAAAACCCTAATGCTGAAACAAAGAAAAAAAGAACACACCAACAGATGCAGGCAGCAATTATAAAGATTACTCAAAGTCCCTCAAGCCTCTGATTCCCAATAGGGCCACCCCACTACTGTTGATGCAGTGGAGAGTTTCTGTCAGGGAAAACGATCACTGGACTCACCTCAGAGAATATCTGGCATGCTTGATGTGGAAGGGCTGCCTAGGGTTTACAAATGTCAGCTGTGAATCAATTAGAAAAGCCACAAATCAAATCCATGCAGAGCACAATGACAATTGTTAGGGGTTGTTATTTTCATCTATCATTCAGTACAAATGAACTCAGTCATGCAAATTTCTATTAGCAATACAGAACAGCACTATATAACGTGAGCTAACATCCACATTTAAAATCTCACCTAGAGGAGCAGCCAAACCTAACAAGAGTACTTAATGTAAACCATCTTCTATAGAGCTCCTTGCTTTAACTCTGACATCGTTTTTTTTTTCCAAGAAAGACAGCACTACTGAGCTTACATATGTATATAACAGGGCTCCAGACTGCGAGTGGTCAGTCGCATATGGTGACCAAATTTAAGGCACAACTGACTTTTTTATAAGGGCATCTAAAGCTGATATCAAGTCCTCCTTTAAGTCGTAGGATAGTAGGAAACCTTACCCCAAAAATAAGATGGTACTAGCTAGGTGAGTGAGAGAGCTGAACTGAGCATGAAGTCCAACAAACATATCCAAAGAGCAGAAATTCTTCTTCAGAATAAAAACAAGCTACAAATAACTAGCATACACAAATGGCAAAGAATGTGTGCAATTCATCTACTTCAACTGAAATATAATAGCCTAATCATCATCATTACCACGTTGACTTCTAGGCTATAGAGCACTACAAAGACTACATAAAAAGAAGCAAAACATGTTCCAGAAGTGAATTTCCCATTTACTGTCTTCCATAAGTCTCCCTCTCTCTGAATTTTACTATAAATATAGGCTATGTAGATTGGATGGTGAGGATATTTAAAATAATTTGTGCAAAATACAGATTCTTTTGCATTATGCTGTAAAACGGAGATGGTGCCACCGAATTTGGCACTGGTATCACAAGTGCCACCAGTCCTTCCCGCCTTCATGAGAAGAAGCTATGTCTCACCTCATGAACGTCAGGAGAGTTGTTCCGGATGTTGACCTTCAGAGCGCTGCACTCACCCACCCGTGTGGCTGGAAAGGTGTACAATTCCTGTGGAGCATACACCCCCCTGCGCACAGCCTCCTCCTGGCTAAGAATTACATATGCCAGATTAAACAAGACACATACCACAATTTCCATTTGAAGATGAGACACCTACTCTCCAACATTACAGAACATTAAACTCAGTCAGGACAGGCAATTTATGCTCTATAAGACAATACATTTATTTCATAAGGACTGCAAATAATACACTGAACAAAATTATAAACGCAACACTTTTGTGTTTACCCCATTTTTCATGAGCTGAACTCAAAGATCTACGACTTGTTCTATGTACTGTAAAATCTGGACTATAAGCCGCGACTTTTTTCCACACACTTTGAACCCTGCGGCACAATGATGCGGCTAATTTATGGATTTTTACGGGCTAACGAGCTTCATGCCACCAATACATTTAGCCTCGTCACATCAGACCAATGAAATTACCGAACAGGTCACAGTGGACCAATGAAACTGTTCGAATTAAATCAAATGCACTCACACTAAATTCTTCAGATCACTCATTTTGCGCTTCATGCACACACCCTCATCATGGAAAACACACGAAGAAATGCATAAGATGCAGCTTTCAAATTAAAGGCGATCGATCTGGCTGTCAAAGAAGGAAATAGAGCTGCTGCAGGTAAGCTTGGCATCAATGAATGGATGGTGAGACGATTTTGTTAACCAGCCCTGTTACAGGCACTGTTTGGAAATAGCATTTATTTAATTAAAAGTAAAAAAATGTGTAACATCTTTCTGTGTAAATATCTCATGTTACAACATGGACACCTGCGGCTTATAGACAAGTGCGGCCTATAAAAGTACAAAATTTTTTTTCTTCTTAAATTTAGTGGGCGCGGCTTATAGTCAGGTGCACTCAATAGTCCGGATTTTACACTACACAAAAGGCCTATTTCTCTCAAATATTGTTCACAAATCTGTCTAAATCTGTGTTAGTGAGCACTTCTCCTTTGCCGAGATGATCCATCCACCTCACAGGTGTGGCATATCAAGATGCTGGTTAGACAGCATGATTATTACAGGTGTGCCTTAGGCTGGCCACAATAAAAGGCCACTCTAAAATGTGCCGTTTTATCACACAGCACAATGCCACAGATGTCGCAAGTTTTGAGGGAGCGTGCAATTGGCATGCTGACTGCAGGAATGTCCACCAGAACTGTTGCCTGTGAATTGAATGTTCATTTCTCTACCATTAGCCTTCTCCAAAGGCGTTTCAGAGAATTTGGCAGTACATCCAACCAGCCTCACAACCACAGACCACGTGTAGCCACACCAGCCCAGGACCTCCACATCCAGCATCTTCACCTCCAAGATCATCTGAGACCAGCCATCCGGACAGTTGCTGCAACAATCGGTTTGCATAACCAAAGAATTTCAGCACAAACTGTCAGAAACCGTCTCAGGGAAGCTCATCTACATGCTTGTCATCCTCATCAGGGTCTCGACCTGACTGCAGTTTGTCATCGTAACAGACTTGAGTGGGCAAATGCTCACATTCGATGGGGTCTGGCAGAGGTGTTCTCTTCATGGATGAATCCCGGTTTTCACTGTACAGGGCAGATGGCAGACAGCGATTGTGTTTCCCCCCATTTTTAATGAGCTGAACTCAAAGATCTACGACTTGTTGTAGGTACACAAAAGGCCTATTTCTGTTCCAGTTCCTGCCAATATCCAGCAACTTTGCACAGCCATTGAAGAGGAGTGGACCAACATTCCACAGGCCACAATCAACAACCTGATCAACTCTATGCGAAGGAGATGTGCTGCACTGTGTGAGGCAACTGGTGGTCACACCAGATACTGACTGGTTTTTACTGACTGACTAACCCCCCCTGGACCCCCCAATACAGTAAAACTGCACATTTTAGAGTGGCCAGCCTAAGGCACACCTGTGAAGTGGATGGATTATCTCGGCAAAGGAGAAGTGCTCACTAACACAGATTTAGACAGATCTGTGAACAATATTTGAGAGAAATAGGCCTTTTGTGTACATAGAACAAGTCATAGATCTTTGAGTTCAGCTCATGAAAAATGGGGGCAAACACAAGTGTTACGTTTATAATTTTGTTCAGTGTAGATGTGTTACCAGCCATTTTTACATATTATGAGAGTGTCTACTTTGTATTGCACTTACTGGTCATTGTTATGCCCTACACAATAGAAATGGCAAAGAACAGCTGGAAAAAAAATGATATGAGGAACAATATACACCAGTGTCTCCAAATGTATATTGCAGTTCATGATTAGTGCATTGCATCCCAAGGCACCAGACACCCTGCACTGAGCTTCTCTCTACACAAGGCAAATATTTCCTCATGTGGTAAAATCCAGTGTTATTCTGATATCTCTTACACTGGCTTTAAGTTCCACCTCAGAGATCTTGGTTAAGGTTAAGTAGGTTTTACCTGGTTTTACTTCCTGAGGCATCAGCTCTCTTCCTGGTCTTGACTGTGGTCTCTGTTTTGACCAGAGAGCAATCTCCTTCCTGTGGCCCTTCCACTGGTCCAGACTTTATTCCCTTTAGAGAGACAGACAAAAGTTGAGGAGCTTACTAGCAAGTCAAACGTTTTTCAAACTGTAATCACAGAATAGCATATAGTACTCATCTTATCACTGCATCTAGCAAATGTAGCTAAGAACATACCATCATAACCACTTGAAATACTTTTGTGGAGCCAACAATCTGAAATCCTACTTGGTCTTAACTTTACTGGGTCTATTGTAACACTATTGTAACACTTAATACTAAAGCAGCACACACTTGAGGCCTACAAGCCTGTCTCAGCAGGGTGGCTGTTCTTCCTAACCTAGAACCCACTTTTCTTATTTATTAATTCTGTCACAGAGCACACAACTATAAGCCAAGCCAGCTCAGTGAGCTGTGTGAGAGAGAAACATGTGTGACAATTAATATTATGGTTTGTTGTACACAGGTCTGATAGAAATGGTTGATAAAATCTAATGTAGACAAACATTTTTCTGCTTTGTTGCTGTTAGAGCAACTAAGAGAAATGCACCTCATTACTCCATTAAACTCCATTTTGGGCAAAACCTCTCTTGGGCGGGGGGTCAACACTTTTACTACAGAAGCACAACAGTAGTTGCACATTTCCTCTCAGTAAAAATTAAAGCCAACAAAACCATTAAACAAGTCCTCACAGTGCCACACAGTTGGAAGCGGATTCTGGTTTTCTGCTGGGGGTCGGTCACGGGGTGGCACTCCAAGTCCCAGAACTGGGCATAGTCCCCTCGGTCTCTGGGTAAGAAAGTGATAGGCACCTAGAACAGCAAGAAAACCATAGAAGCAAGCAATTAGAAGTTGTTTAACTATAACATGTTAATTATAATCACACATTATTAGAGCCCACCTCTACAAAGATCAAGGCACTGGTTAAACAAGGTGCTGTGAAGGTTACTTGGGTTTGCAGTACACATCAAATAAGACTAAATTTTACTAAGTGCTGTTCATCTTGGGGGCAGGGGACAACACAGTGATGAGAGTTCAGACCTTTCTCATGATAGACACCTGAGCTAACAATGTCAGGTAACATGAGATTTTTTTCCCCCCCAAAGTAACCCACAACATTTAAGGTCAATCTTCTCTCCAAGTATTAGTGACAAGTCTAGTTGAATTGTCAGTGCCAACCTCCATCTTCTCATGGGCTCCCAGAGTCCCCGAGACCCTGGAGCATCTGAAAGCAGTGTAGGTGGCTCGGTAAACATCTCCAGTGTTGTCAACCCCCTGAGGATAGAGAAAGGACCACAGCTTGATACAAGTCTCTGCCATCACACTATGGCCAGTAACAAGACAAAACTACAACATCATGAGTGTGAAGCAACAAAACAAACACATTACCAAAGTGAGTCGTGAGACACACACACACACACACACACACACACACAAAAGACATACTACACTTAAAAGTAAACCTCACAAATAAATAAATAAAACAGTGGAAATAAACAAAGGCAGTAAAGGCACCTGTTCCCAAGAGAGAATACACAAAAAAGAAAGACAGTAAACAGAATGAAAGAATTGACAGAAGAAAGATAAGGGGAAAAAAAGTACCTTGACATATGGAGGAGCAAATGATGACAGGTACCACCTCACTTCCACTTCCCCATTGAGCACCTGCAGCTGGGCCTCTGAAGTACAGGAGCAACATAGAATCTAATTCTCCCACAGGAATACACAATGTGCTGCCTACACAATATGCTGTCTGCAAAATATTTCACATTAAAACGTCTTGTAGATCATGATCCTAAGCAGGTTCAGCCAGGACCGCAGTAGTACTACAGAGAGTTTCTCTTCACAGGTCAGTCACCTCCCTACCTGATCTTTCCCCTGCGGGAGTAGTGGGGAAAATGATGGTCTTGTTGCTGATTTCAACCAGGGACTGAGGTGTCTGTGGTGTCACTGAAGGCTCGGTGGCAAGCCTAGCCACAGGCAGCACAGGGGTGGCAGCCTGAGGAGGAAGGGCTGAGAGAGTCTTATCTGCTGGGGCAGCAGAAACATCCAGAGCCAGGTCCTGACGAATCTGGACCTTAATAAACTGAACCAGTCATCACAATGAACACATTTAGCTCATGTTAAGTTCTCCCAATCCAAGACAACATGCAATATATTCAAAAATGTGTATAGCACATCCTATATATTCATACTTTCTGTTGGCCATCACACTGGACATAGATCTGTCCACTCCAGGGCAGCAGGGAAGATTTAGTTGCTAGGGAGGGGTTGGGGCTGACCAAAATCTGCAGGTGGCACCTTGGTTAGGAAGAGAAGACAAGTGGAATAATTTAAGTCACATATATGCACAGTCACACAGATTATGATTTTAACCTTTTGATTTTCTTGTCACTGTTCATCTTCTGAAGCCAAGATGACAATTTTATAAGGATAATCACTTTTATTGGCCAAGTATGTTACACACAAGGAATTTGTTTCCGGTACAGAACCGATGGCAGCCATCTACGGCGCCACCTCAACCGATGGCTCTAACCATCTGGGGCAACAGGGGGTTCAGTGTCTTGCCCAAGGACACTTTGACACGTGGACGAACCTTCAACCTGGTTGGGAGACGACTGCTCTACCCACCACACCACTGTCGCCTCCCCGGGGCAGGGCAGAGCTGCCACAGTTACTTATGTATCAAAGTAAACTGTAACACAATAATGTATAATCACCTACACAGTGTAGACAAAGACATCCAGCAAACATCATGAGGTCTAATTAAAAACCATGGCTCTGGTAACGCATTTGCTTATAATTGAAGGTGCGTTCATTAATTATTCAGCTGCCGTGAGACTCAAAACAAACTGACGCATCCTGTTTCTTGTCAGTGAGAGAGGAGCGCAGCTGCTCCCTTCTCTAAACAGAGACCAATACAGAGAAAAAACACTGTAAAAACAAAGTAGGATGGTTCGTGTCAACCCGCAAGGTTATGCTGAGCAAAAGGTTAAGGGAAGAATAGGGTGCACCGCTTCTTGGGTTCCATCAGCGTAGCTTAATGGACTAACAAGTCCCGGCTCTGCAGCATGTTAAATGAAGGGGCTGCCAGTTGGTAAACATTCCCAAATAGGACTAACAAAACATTAACATTATACAAATCTTGAATATTACCAGATTAAAATCAGCTCAATTCAGCACTAAAGTAAAATCATGACCATGCTAAGTTGCTAATTTTACCAAAACAAACATGGTCACTTTAGATGCCAACACATGAAGAAGGAAGAATCAAATCTGAGTCCTCTGGCTGCTTTCAACACTCTCCATTACAAGAAGTCAAATCGATGTTAACCCTGGTTTTTGCTCTTTGTCCCACTTTGTGCAAAAGAACGTGACCTCTTCGGTCTGGCAGACACGGTTTTGGACTTATAGCAGATGAGAGGTCCTCCATGGCTGGTTGGTGGAAATGACAGCTGGCATTCAAAAAGGCTTCTTAGTACCTTCACTAGTTGATGCTCAGAGCTAACGGTAGGAAACAAAGGTCAGAGAATCTGGAATAACAGAAGGGCTGAAGACACAAGAGTGTCATAGATGGGGCTAGTATAACTAAGCGATATCACAACCTGTCCCATTTTCACTGGAGTTATCAGACAACGTGCAAAATATCAATGAATACATTAAGTATTCAGAATGCTTCAAGTCAGCTTTGTCTGGGCCAGTCAGGTTGAAAGAGCAGCATTTGAACACACCTCACAGACTACAGCCAAGGGCCGACTTGCACGTACGTTCTGTGCCTGCATGCAAATGACAGTAAGAAGTTGCAAATGACAGTGCCATTCTCTGCCCTTAGTCTTTTGGTTGTGGTTCTGGAGGCGAAAAACAAGGAGAAATTGCATTAAATGGGTGAAATCATGGATACTACAGTGACAGGCTGAAAGGGCTTTCCCTGAAGCGTTCTCTTCTCGGGCACTGATTCGTTAAGTTCAAGAGCCAATCAGAGTACTCAGTCTCTTACCAACAAGGCCAGTCCACCGACACCTATTCAACAAATCGGCCGAAAAGCCGCCAATGGAGGTCGACTAGTGCCGACGGTGCGGGACAAGACCCGACAGACACCAACAGCTGACCGCTGGCTTGGTGCGTCTCTGCCCTTAGGACAATAAATACAACTTCCAGTATTCTGGGCGAAGTCTCTACAAGTTTTACATAACTGGATTTGGACAGTCATCAGCAAAGTCTCAGGGCTCTGGACCAGGCCTTCTTCAAAGACACCTCTGCATTTGGCTATATTCATCCATCTCTTAGTTCTGTCAACGCTATGGTTTACTGAAGGGATGGTATTAGTAGATAATGACCAGCACCTGGTGTTCACCAGCCATGGTGTGTTTTGCCTCATGCTGTCTGAATCGTATTGACACATTTCAAACAGCTCTAATCAACCTTTTACTCATAGGGGCTACACAGGTGTGTGCCTTTCTATACTGTCCCATCACATTCTAGACACATCTCAAACAAAACTGAAACAAACAAGATGCACCTCATTACATTTTGGAGCATCACAGCCACAGGGTGTGAATATTTTTGTAAAATGAGAGATTTCAGTTTGATTTTCAATAAACTCACAAAGATTTCTAAAAGCATTTTCTGCCTTGTCAATGGGCAAAACATTAAAAATTAAGTCTACAACACAGTAATGACTGCAAAAAGTGAATGACTCCGAGCACTTTCCGAGGTGATTGTATCCTTTGAAAACGGTTTTCTTACTGAGGCTCGATCACTCCATGCTGAGGGGTAATGGTGAGACAGTGAGCAGGCCACGACAAATCAAAGCTCAGCTCCCTGGATGTATTGTTCCGAATCTGAATCTGACTGGTGGTGGCTGTGCCATCTAGAACAACAAAAATAAACTGGCTAGTTATGAAGTTAAACGACCACTGCAAAGACACTCACCTGTGGTTTGGTTAAATGTTGATGTAGAATTCAAAGACGGGTGATAAAAGTTCACATAACCATTTGCTTTTAAAAATCTAGATTCTACTCACTGATGATGGGGGCAGCAAGGACAAGTTTTTCTGGATGGATGTTCCAGGACTCAGACTGTCTATGTAATGGCTCTGAAGCCTAAGAGGGAAAGACAGTCTGTATTCAAAAACAAATACTTACCCGCACCAAATGTCATCATTTCATCTGCTTGAAAAAGCATTAAAATAGTCACTGTAAGAAACATCAGTGTTCATTAAAGAGGGATTATGTTACCTTTAAAGATGGCTCTGTCACTCTCAGTGCTGGACCCTGGGGACCCTTGACTGGCAGCACGTCTAGAGACACATTGCCATTTGCCAAACCACTGGGAATTACATAACAATACAATGTGTGTGATTACACTTAACACTACTTTTATCATTATAATTTGTGTGATATTACTGTAGCTGTAAGTACACTGTGTTTGTCTATATTTGTAACTTAAATGAAGACTGGATCACATTTTAAAACCAAATGTAGAAAACTGGGTAATTCCAAATGGTTTGCTTACTTTTTCTTGCCTCTAGCCTCTTGTGGATTTTAATATGGAAATAAAAAAACTACAAGGATTTGCTAAATCAAATGCAAAAAAAAAAAAAAAAGCCAAAGCAAAGAAATCCATTAAATGCATTTTATAAATGTGCTCACAACAGAAAATGTACAGACCCAAAGTATGAGAGAACTACTTTTTACCAAATAACTGTGTTCCGATAAACAGGATGTACACTAAACCCTTATATTTCTCCAAATACTTTTTCAAATCAGGGAGATGAGCACATGACCAAAATGCAGTGAAATATTGAAAATAAGTAACTATTTATATTTGTATCTCTGTTGAGCTGTAAATTCAGAAGGCTGGTGTTTAGATGATCCAGGTCCTGGTATATTACAGTATGTTGGTGATACTTTTGACAGTACCTGTCTGTCTCTGAACCATGACTAGCAGAGGGCAGTGGCAGCTTAGTGTGGTCTCCCTCCTCACAGTCTGTGCTCTTCGAACTGCCCAGTAACGACACCACAACCTTACTCATATTTCCATAGAAGATGTGGGCCTCATTGGGCCGTTGGGGCAAATCATATACTACAGGAGAAATGAGATCATTAGTCAGAGACAAGAAAAGCTTTAGGCATGCATTTCAACAAATGAAGTGTTTACTGAAGAGAAAATCAGAAATATCTGTTTTTTAGTAATCTCTTAACATATTACAAATGAACCTTTAGGCTACTTTGACTTTTTGCTAGAAAAATGGGGAGCGAAATGGTGTGACAAGCAACAAAGGTTTCTGGTTTTAACCATTATGCTACTGGGCTACAAAACAAATACAAATTTCAAATTCAATACGTTTCTTGTGTTTCTTCTATATCTTAAATGACATTTCAGGCATGCTTACAGCATCAGCTCGAGAAGTGGACTACAGAGTATACATCACTTTTTTTTTTTTTTTTACTCATCGACTAATCCGTAATACACTAGTAAAATAATGTAAAAACACAGCAAAATACTTCAGAATTGAGTTTTTTTTTGTTTTGTTTTTTTTTACAAATTCTCAGCTGTTTCAAGTGGAGACCAAACAGATCTTTTACACAGCATGACATGCCATCTTACTCTCTGTAACATTGTCTTCTCCCAAGAATTTCTCATTGAAGTTGATGTTTTTCAGCAGACTGTTCTCAGACAGAGCCTTGGCTGCAGCCTCTGGTTTGCTCTGCAGCAATCTGAAAGACCAACAAACATGCACACCTTATGGGGAATGAAAACAGTGGCAAGAAAAAGCAATCACCTGGTTTTCTACACTTTTTAGTTATAAAATGTGACACAGCTTATGTGCATTGTGTTTGACTAATACCGTGAAAAATTATAATTTGCAGGTCTTTATTTAACCCATTAAATATTCACAGTGCTGTAGTAGAAAAAAAAAAAAGGAAAGGGGGGGGGGGGGGGCATCAGTGACCCCCTCGGATTTACCAAGTGGTTGAAGCCCCTATTGGCATTGTTAATTAACCTCCAACAAGCTTCCTGTAGCTGTGGATCAGACCTACACAATGTTCAGGAGGCATTTTGGTCCTTTCTTCCTCGCAGAGCAGCTATAGTTCAGACATATTCCAAGGAGGTCTGGTGTGAACAGCTCTCTACGCTCATTCTACAGCATTTCTGTTGGGTTGGCATCTGGGATGCTCCAAAAGGCAGATTTTCTTGTTCTGAAGCCATTCTGCAATACATTTTCTTCAATGTTTAGAGTCATTGTCCACATCATGATGCCCCCTTCACAGTCCCTTTTTATGCCACACAGTGTGCAGTGTTTTTCCTCAAACAACTCAACCTTAGTTTCATCAGTACACAAAACAGTAGTGCTGTGACATGTCAGGGTTATTATTATTACTATTATTATTATTGGTCAGCATCAGCTCTCCATGAAACATTGTTTTTATGTTTCACTCCAACATGAACATCATCCCGCTGGTAAAGAACAGTGAAGGGAGCATCATGAAGTAGGGATGCTTTGCATCCTCTGGGCCTGGACAACTGCCATCAGGGAGGGGAAAAAAAATTAAGCTTATCAAGGTATCCTACAGGATAATATCAGGGTGGCTGTCTGCCAGCTAAAGCCCAGTACAAGGTGGGTGATGCAACAGGACAATGACCATAATCATTGAATAAAATCTATTGCAGAATGCCTTCAAGACAAACAAACAAAAACATCCACCTTTTGGAGCAGCTCAGTGAAAGGCCAGACCTTGACCCAACAGAGAAGCTGTGGAATGAGCTCATCTGATCTACAGCTACAAGAAGCTTGTTGAAGGTTACTGCTGCCAAAGGAGCTTCAATCAGTTAATAAACCTTTCCCACCAGTAGTGTGAATGTTTAATGGGTGTGTTCAATAAAAGACATAAACAATTATAATTTGTGTGATATTACTGTAGCTGTAAGTACACTGTGTTTGTCTATATTTGTAACTTAAATGAAGACTGGATCACATTTTAAAACCAAATGTAGAAAACTGGGTAATTCCAAATGGTTTGCTTACTTTTTCTTGCCTCTAGCCTCTTGTGGATTTTAATATGGAAATAAAAAAACTACAAGGATTTGCTAAATCAAATGCTAGAATTACTGCTTTGCAGTTGTATGCCAACCAGTCAAATTTCTGGGAATGGGAAAAACATGAGGACCTTGACCTTTGACTACCAAAAATAAATTAGCTCATCCTTAAGTCCATGTGGACACTCGTCGCAAATTTGAAGCAATTCTTGAGATACTGTATTCATGAGAAGGGGCTGGACACAAGGTCATGTGCTCTGGCCATGGCTTTTGCCATAAATGCAAACTGTATTAAATTTAAGGTCTCACCTCCTGTACTGCTGCCTGGAAACCTCATCTCCACAGAACAGACAGAGAGTAGCCAGCTGGCCACTGGTTGACTGACACAACCTCTGTTCTCTTTCTGTGGACTTCATGAGCACAGTTATCACCTAAAAACACAAGTCACACAAGTTAAACAGCAAGTGTCAAAGCCAAGCCACAATTCCAACATGTATGAGAGCCAAACTAAAACAGTCATCATTAACATTTTTCTCTGTCTCGCTGCATCAATGTGTGCCTTGTGCAGTACATGAAGACAGCCTAGTAACTTAGTTTCCTCAACTGATAATGTACAAAGTGACTTGTATTAGTTGTACCCACTGTCCTACCTCTTGTGTCCTTTCCTTCAGTACAAACTGTGACGGGGTGAGGCTAACAACAGAAGGATCTAAAACCGATCGCGTCTGCACATCAGAAAAGCACACGGCTTTAATGAAGGCTGCCCTGGAACCAGTGTTCCTCACACACAGACACACTTTGCTGACATGACCAACAGCAATGTTGTTCAGTGTTGCCACATAACCATCCGTCTGTTTCCTCTGGTCCTCCAGGATGATGTTGCTGGTCCCACCATAGCCCGAAAGTGGAATCTGAAGATGGAAAATATAAGAAACAAATGAATCTATGGCTCAAGTCTTTCTTTCTTGACAATATGACAACGAAACAGTTAAAATGTGGCAGGAGAAACAAGTGGCAGTGTATATACAAGAGAGAGAAATGCAAAGTAATAGGTGACTACAGAGAAAGATGAGAGCAGAGTCACGTCCTCACCGTGAATTTGACCCCTGGCTGTGAAGGCCGGACTCCAGACTGTTTGATCTCCAGCTTGGCCAACATGCAGGCCACCCTGGTGGGAGCAAAGAGCAGGTGGACAGTCACATCTTCTCTGGGACGGATGGACAGTTCCCCATGTCGAGTCAAACGCTCTTCAGCACTGAACATACTCTGGAGCTAAAAGACAAACAAGTTTATAGACTTCCCATTTGGGGAAAAAAAAATCTACATTTTTAACAGATGAGTCAAATTATCAATCATCATTTGATATAATTTCAGTTTTACTAGTAATGCAGAACTTAAGGAGACAGAGAGAGATAATGATCATAACTTTGAGCTCTTAACACCATAGTAACGTATTCATCTTTGTCCTCTTTTAGCTTCATTTATCCATTTGATCAAAGTGTTCGTAGAGACAAAAGCACATTTAAAAGCACACACAATGCCAAGCTTCAGCCACCTAAATACTACATTTGCAGTTTGACACAAAAACTTGCAGTAACATCCTGATTCACAAATACTAGATACTATGGAAATGAAAAACTTAACTGTTCAGGATGTCAAAACAAACTCAAGATGTGAGGATACTCAGAATGAGCAAGAAGAAAGACAAGACATTTATCAGTTTTCAAATATTTCAATTTACATTCTACCTGAAAGCAGTCCTGGTCTTGACCACGAATGAGCAGTCGTAGTTGCTGTGTGGTGCTGGTAGAGTTGTTCCTTAGAACCAGTTTCTGTTGGCTGAAAAACAATAGCAAGTGTTGGTTACGTGATTACAGAATATCGGAGTTGTGTCAAACTGCTTATCTGCTGTTTTGAGACAGAGTCTTGGTTATAATTTGTGTAGAATAGCAAAGTCAGACCTGGCCTTAGTCACATCTTTAAAGAATATAGCAGCTCCCCGGGGATTCTGCTTTCTTCCTGCTCTCTCTACCTTTACTCCCTTCAGTAAGTATACATAAATTAAGCATTATGTTGAAATAGCTTCTGAGGAATAACACTCCCTGTAGATGCTCTCTGTCCCTTCTCATGAATAACATTATACAAGCCTTAATAGAGTTAAGATGGGCCACTGGGCCTTGAGTTTTTTATTGATTACTTTCCAATGAATAATTGATACCTAGAGTGTTTTTTCTGTAACCAAGTAACAGTGAAATTAATAAAGTAAAAGTTGCTTACATAGCTCGTCCCAGACTGATGCCTCCCCAGGCTACGAACTGTTTATTAGAGAGAATTGGTGGGATGTTACTGGCTAGACCAGGCTCGAAGACAGCAGCAGAGGGAATGTGAGGTTTCCCAGAATCCTCTGGGGCAACTTCTCCTTTCATGGTTACCTCATACTGGGGGCCTGACGGCAGCACCAAGATAGTGAGAAGGCTGTAATATATTGACAAAGTTAAATCCAATGAGTGCATTTAGATGCTCACAGTCCAGTACTGATGAATTATTCAACCGTAAAAATTAATTTAACTTATAGAAGCTACAAATCTTTATTTTTCTATTACTTTCAGTGTTAGTCAGCCTTTGGAATAATGTTTTACAAGGATACAAGGTTACCAGTAATTAAAATGTTTCCTTTCATCCCTCAGTACTGCTGTCATAGCAATACATCCCTCTCTGAAGTCTAGAAACCATGGTTTCGCTAATTCTTTAACCTAATTATTGAAAGGATGAAACCACCTGCCTTCTTATTCACAGGCCTTTAAATATATCTTGTTACTGCAGAAAATCAATTACATACCATTACTGTATGTGCATGTAAATGCCATTACTGCATACCTTTCTCTGTATTTTCTGTGGCCCTGTGCTTTGAAGGACACAACCACCTTTTGCTCCTCTCCTACACTCAGAAACAGTTCTTCAGGTGTCACAGAGAAACTGTCCCCAACATCACTGCTCTATACAGACAAATTAAAGAGAGTGAACCAAAGTGAAAACAGGAACAAAAAAAGTGGGAACAAAACAGCAAATGATCAGTACTTGGAACATTGTGGTAGTAACAAGGAGAAGGAGGTGGAAAAGAAACAGATCAAGGGAGAGACAGAGTGCAGGAAAGGGGGTGGGTGAAGCAGCAAAGTGGGACCAAGAGAGAAAAGAGTATTGAGGGAAGAACAAGAATAAACAGATAGAACACAATTACAAAGAAGAGAAGTAGGAGAAGCAAGAAATCAAGGTAAAAAAATGGAGAACAAGAAAAACAGAAGCAAAATATCAATAAGGCTGTGTGTATCTAAAATGTCAGAGAGGTTTACAAAACCCAGACCTAATAAGAAAAGTAAATATCAGAATTACCTTAAGTTTAAGGTGCACGTCAATGTTTCCAGCATTCTTCAGTGGCAGGATCTGTTGACTAGATTTACCCAGTGGAGCAGACAGACTAATAGTCTAGACAAAAGCAGCACACAAAGCAGTTCACTGCTTACTCACATTAAAACTGTAAAATAACATTGAATTACCTATGCATTAAGCCAAAAAAAAGCATTTAACAAAACATACGTTGCATATTACAGATTCTTCAAAGTTGTGCTGTGCTGAGGTTGTGTTGGTAAACAACAAATAGCCCTACTCAACTATTGCAGTAATCCAAATGATGGCAAGACTCTCTCAACTGAGTACAGAGAAATGGCAGGTCGTCATTCATTTAGTGTTTCACCTAGAATTGTTTTGGCTTGGCCTGTATTTACATACAACAATAGAGGGAAGGTCTAAAATGCCCTTAGAAATATTGTAGATAGTTATTCATGTTTGCTTCACCGTGTGTTACTTTACTGGGAGCTTTTGACACATGAAATGCTCTGGAGCCCAGATAGGGATATCATTTTTCACTTTCATCTTTTGTTCTTATTGTTTAGTCTCACCAGGAATGTACAGAACCGTCTGTTTAGTACAGTCAAAATGATTTTTTTCCTTTGCAGTGATTTTCAATATAATATCCTACACATTTGACTCCTATGATGACAAATGTGGGGCACCTGTCTGAGTCAACGCTGCTGCTGTCTTTGGACCTGGTCTGGCCAATAACATTCCACCAATTCTCTCTAATAAACAGTTCATAGCATGGGGAGGGGTCACTCTAGGACAAGATGTGTAAACAACTTTTACTTTATTAATTTCATTTTTACTTGGTTACAAGAAAAAACACACTAGGCATCAATTGTTACCTCTGCCAAGCTGTAAGCAAAGCAAACGTTGGCTACTTTGAAGTAATAACAATAAACATATTTTGCTTTGCCCACACTTACTACATAATTTTGTAAGTGCCAAAATGTTTGACTAGCACGGAGTGCGTCAGTTTTCTCTGTATGAAGACGGACATTGTATATGCACTTGTGTTCTGAATAATGCCACTTTCAAAAACAAACATCCATATTTCACAAGGGCCTTATGCACTTACATGTACTGTAAAAATGCACATTCTTTGCTCAGTCATTTTCTGTCTGGTGCTATGTTAACTGCTTTAAATAAAAAATAAAATAAAATAAAAAAATCACCATGAATGGATCTGAAGATTTCAGAATGAGCCTTTTGTTCATTTGTATGACTCACTTCTTTGCAGCTGCAAGAGGCCCTTTTTCAGGAAAGTTTGTCTCAGTCACATTTAGCTAGTTTGGAAACTGTGTCAGAGAGATGCTGAACAGGACTATTTGGTTTGAGCAAGTACTCCTGCATCTGTCAGTCAATGAGAATACAGAAGGAGAAAAACTAACCTACAAATTCCATTTGATAAAGTCTCACTTCTCTTAACACAAAACTGTGAAGTACATTATTGTCTTAATTCTCAAAGTTGGCCAGTGATAATCAGAATAGTCCCTGTGTGTGCTTTTCTTTTGGATCCTTTTTATTTCATCTACTTTCTTAAAACATAATCTTTAAGTTTACCTTGTGCTGGTACAATAATTAGATTACATTAAATTAGCCAATGTAATACAAGCTGGCTTATCTCTCTGTTGTGAAGACTCATCACATGACAAACTACATTAACTGTGTGTTTGTGGTGTGCAGATATACCAACAATCTAAAAACTGCTGTATGGCAGCTTGAATACCTGCAGGTCTTTAGGAGCATGAACCCTTGCAGTTCCAGACTTGGCCCTGAGGGGAATACTCCTGATCACATGACTTGGACCAGGGGAGTCCACTTCAATGTCCACCCGAGCAATGTACTCATCAGCTGGGCCAAGCTCTCCTGACAAGTAAAACGCCAAAGAGTTAAGGTTAGAAGAAAACTACTGGGTTCTGTTTTGTGATTTTAAACAATCTGGAAACTGTAAAGGTCTAGAAATGTATATATTAGAAGTTAGGTGGCCTCCTAAATTCATCCATAAAGATGCATTACATAAGATTTTATGCACTGTATGATAAATCAATTGAAAATGAGACAGGACATGGTTCCTTTCTGTTTTACTATCCCCTCCACAACATGCTGCTACCTACAGCTCGTCTTCTTATTCTAGCCTTTGAAAACTTTTTTCAAAATATGTTCTGCAAATTAACCCCGCCTGTCACCTAGCGAAAGTTATAAGAAGTGTTTTAAAACAGCAAGCACTCATTTCACACAACTAAAAGTGCAAAACAGTAGATGCCAGACTAAAGATGTTGCATTCTTTTGCACAGAGAGAATTGCACAAATAAAGAGCAAAAAACCAGGGTTAACATCAGTTTGGCAGTTTCAGATGGAGAGTGTTAAATTCAACCATAGGACTCAAATTCAATCCATATGGGGCATTTTTTTTTCTACTATATTGCTGCATCTGTGCTGCTTAAATTGCCTTAGATTTTGTGTTATTTATCTACTTTATATTTCATTTGTATTTTGTGGCATTCATGTGGACGGCAAAGTAAGAATTTCATTGTACAGGGAAACACGTTTCCTAACTGTGTATATGACAAATAAACACTTTGAACTTCTCCCTTCTGGACATGTTAGCATCTAAAGCTAATGTGTTTGTTTTAGTAACAGCAACCCAACATGGTCATGATTTTACCTTTGTATTGAATTAATACGGTTTTAACTTGGGAGCAATTTGAGCTTTGTGTAATGCTAGTGCTTTGTACCATATTAGCAGTAACCAGAGCATTCTACAGGATGGACAATTTTACTCAGTAGTCACCCAACAATAGCTTCAGATTGAAGGTTGCATTCGGCACAGTTTGTCACAACAAGCCATACATAGATAACATTATTGCTGGAAAGAGGACGTAATGGGAGGGGCAAAGAGCGTTTAGGAGCTGCCTATGGTGTCAGTTTGTTTCGAGTCTCACTAGACCCTCTAGCAGCTGAAAAGAAATTAAGTAGAGTGTCTTTAAGTGCTATTTAGGTTTTCAGTCAAGGCTGATTACCTGAAATGTTTGTGTACTTCTGAGGGGCCTTGAAATGTACCCACACTATGAAGCTTTCTGGATTCTGAAGAAGGAAAAAAAAAAAAGCTACATTTGTCACATTATCATATCATGCAAGTTTAGTTGGTCAGAGGGTTAGACAGAATCAGACTGGACTTGTGAACCTGTGTTACCCATAATATCTTAATATTCTGCCAGAAAACCACAAGTTATCTATCTTAAGCAATCTTTACTGAATATACAAAACTAAAATAACTGAAGTGACTGAGATGCTGACTATGGTTGCTTTGATTTTGGAAACTAACCTCGCTGTAGCTGGCATGCATCACATGATTCAGAACCGAGGGAGAAGACACCGGGGTCAAGTGTCCAGCCGTCTGTGTTGCCTCGGGAGTCGTAGTAATATCATGCTTGGAAAAGGTAAAGCATCGCCATGCTGTAGCGTTCTGGAGGAATGAGATGTAGAATGTGAACAACCCAGATACAGTTTATTATCACTGGTGTGTTTTTGCTGCTTTTTATAGTGAACCAAAGTAAGAATTAGTCGTTATAATGCTGATTCAAGTGTTGAGGACTTAGTTTTACAACAGCTAAAAAAATAACTGACACTGAAAAATAACTAGTCTATATTATTCCATATAATTGAGTGTGTGTTCACCTCCATAGAGAAAACACAAATTAGGGATGGAGTTACAGAGCTCAGAGAGGGACAGATGAGGAGGTAAGTGTCCAGGCAGACATGTGCTGTGGCTTTTACAATCACCAGATCTCAACCGAACTGAGGACTTTGAACCAACATGTTAGACACCAAATGGGTGAATATGGTCTCGAAGAATGGTGTTCACCCCTCAAGTTCAGAGACTTGCACAATCAATGCCAAGGAGCACTGAAGCTGTTCTGGTGGCACCTTACTAAAACACTATGTCAGTTTTTCCTTTTATTTGTCACCTGTCTGTATATGCACCTGTGATCTCGCCTTTACATTATTATGTAGGAACCACACACTTTCTAGTGGAGGTCAATTTATCTCCATTATTATGTAGGAACCACACACTTTCCAGTGGAGGTCAATTTATCTCTGTTGTTTTTGTAAGTGGTCTAAAGATATGTAGGAATATATTGTGTTGACTCACTGCACTGATGACCAGACGGATGGGCACAGTGGCATGAGTCCTGTTGAGCAGTTTGAGAGGTAGAGATTTGGCACCGCCTTCTGGAAGCTCTCCAAAATCCAAACAGTCAGATGTGCTGAATTCAACCTAACAACCAAAATGAATTTGAGACACGGTCTTATGTAATATACAAGATTTTTATTCGTCATCACTCACATGGGGGCAACATCACCCTGTATTATCTCAAAACACCACTTCTATGCATAAATCTCAACCCTTGAGACATTTACTTTGTTTTAGTTCATTTTTTTATGCAACAGATTATTTTTGTGTGGTCTCTGAAATGGAGGCCTCACCTCTAGTGCAGGATTCTCCGCTATGGCAACTAGCACCACCTTTTTAACAAAGATATTAGCCCTTGCAGCCACCTCTCTCTCAGCAGAAGCAGGCCAAGAGCAAACACCAAGGACCCACTGGTAGACACCAGGCTGTGGAGGTATGAACAACACCTTCTGCTCCTCTGTACTCTTCGGTCCAATGATTGTTTTGTTCTTAACAATCAGCCACTGATAAGGCAAGCTATCCACCTGTAGGGATTGGCAATGTCATATCGGGGTAGAGGGTGAGTGCTTGCAGGGCTGTTGCCCATGACTGATTAAACAGCAGTGTCATTATACTGTATCTCAAGTGCGTTACAAGCACTGTGTGTGAATATACATTCATACAGGGTTAGATGTAAAATGGGGACTTCAGTGAGTTGATCACAGGCAAAGAAGCAATGACATCACATTTCTGCAAGTTTGTGTTCTACTTGTTCAACAACTGTTAAACTGCTCATACAGTCTCGGTTACTGGCTTTTTTCTTGCACGTGAAATTAACAAGCACTGCAATCATTGATTTGTTCTCTGCTCAGCTGCGTAGAGACAAGCACTGCCCCACCTTCCATACAGTGGAAAGGCAAAGCAGAACCAACCACATCAGCCCTTCAAGTTCTACCGGATTACGGATATGGGAAGCTACAGGTTACAGCTTGTTAAGTTCAAAAACATTATATGTGCTTTGATACTGCATCTTTATGCTCTCCACTCACCTTCTCTCCATCAATGGCCAGGCTGGTGATTGCAATCGACACTTGTTGCCACCTTTCAGAGGGGTTGAAGAGGCTGAGAGAGGTCTGTGAGGCAATGCCTACGCAACAGGCATGAGGGAACCGCAGCTCCTCTGGTACCACAACTTGTCCTGAAGATGAGTGGAATGTGGATAAGTTAAACAGAAAAATGCTGCTTCTCCATTCAAAGGAAAAAGAGCTGAGTAATGTACTAAGATAATGAGAAACAAAATGTTATAAAACTTAACTTGACTGCAGCAATTAAAAATTCCATGTTTAATTCCTTGTTGCAATTTTCTGCTATAGATAAGAAAATGATAATGATTTCTCTCTTTAAATAGATTGCTAGCTGAAGGCATGATTAATTAATTAATGTTTGAAAAATACTGATAAAACAACAACAGTCTCATGTCACTACAGCTTGAAAGTCTTCTCAGTTTGTGTAGTTTCAAGAGCATACATAGTGTATTGAAATGGTTAAATGGAGGCAACTTTCTTATGAACACATTGCTACCTCCCAGTTCCTCAAGACCACCTGACATCAGTGGCTCGGCACCATATTGACCATAGGCCTTTCCCATCATTCCCATGTCCTGTTGGTTCTGATGAGGTCGAGGGAGGTAATGAGCAACAGTTGCCCCAGAAATCCCTACAGAGCCTGATGTTGGATGGATGTGTCTTACTGTTGGATCACTGTTGGGTATGCCTGAAAGAGCAAAAGGAAGCAGAATCAATTAGACAAGTATAGTCCACAGGTTTAAGCATGTTGCAATGTGGATGTATTATATCATTACTCATAAAATAGTATTTTTATTGTTATTCACACAGCTCAGCAGCTTTATTATTAGAAGTGGAGAGAGAAAACGACATGCCTGTGGAGGACACACTGTAGAGATCACTTCCTGTTGTTGCCACATGATAAGCACGGGGAGGTAACGGAGCTTCAGATCCCAAATACTGCTGACCCAGCTGGGAGTTGTACACGGAGCATCCAGTAAGAAGGGACTGCATGCTTCCTTGGCGGGGAAGGTCAATCAAGCCAGCACACTGGGGCTTAAAGCTGGGAATGGGCACATAGTGAAATCCCTCTGATGAGTAGGCTGGCGGAATGCCTAGGCTACCAGCATGCTAGCAGCTCCCAATGGCTGGCAGCTCTGAGGAGCTGTGATACTGTTAGTTTGCTGAATGTTCAGATTGCTACAATAGCCCGAGTCCACTTTAGTGAGCTGCCTTACAGTGGACTCAGAGAGGTGCCTGTGGGTTCTACAACCTGCTGAAGTATCACCAGTCCTGTCCCCTGGACAGCTGTAGTTGCATTCACTTTGACTGCGAGTACAGCTCAGTGCAGAGCCACTACGTGAAGGCCCTGGGCTTTTACACTGCTGTGCTGGTAGAGGGTCCAGACTTTTAGACTGCTGTGGTTGCACCTGGTCCAAGCGTTTGGGTTGGCAACAAATATCAAGGTTAGACTCAGCATCTGGTTCCACGGTTGGAGTTGGACTGAATCTGATGATGGTGGTGCTCAGTGCCATAGTACAGTTATTCTGTAGAGGGCAAAAAAATCAAGGACTATCAAATTCTAACATTCAACCATTTTTCCACCAGTTACATAAAAGTCATTAATTTAGGATAGGGATGCACTGATACCACTATTTTACAGATTGAGTACAAGTGCTTATATTTGAGTACATGCTGATACAGAGTACTTAATAATCCTGTGTTTCTACTACAAAAATTACTATGACCATAAAAAGCTTTAGAAACTGTTTATACTTATGAGATTTCCCTTGCGATTGTGATTAAATTACAACAGGAGGCTGTGCAAATTTGAAAACTGTGATAAACACAGCACTGCAATCATTCCCATTGAATATAACATGTAACTGACTGAAGGTCTGTAGCCTACTACATAACATACTGTAATACAGTGGGTTTTAGCCTTAATAGGAGCGCAACCATCTGTTAGTACCAAATTATTTCAATACTCCCACTCAGAACAGCAAGTTTTGGAGCATACAACATCACAGTCTGCAACTTAACAGTTTAATTTAACAAGGGTTCGCACTTTAAACTGGCTACTGTCTGTGACCTCATCCTGTCCTTTCTGCTGGACATACGCCTGCTCTGCTGTAGAGGAGTTGCTGGTCTCAGGGAGAGTAAAGATGTCGCATTTTTTTTTTAACAGTTGCTGTGTTTACCTTGTTCAACAGGTGTTTCATTAATTATCCTCTCCATTGCTGCTAGATTTTGTTACACAAAGAGTGCTGTTGTCACAGTAAAATAGTAACTACTGTATTCCGTCACCTTGTCCACTTGTGTGTGCACACTCACAGACTTGCTGTTTGTGTGTCTGTCGGCACCAACTCCCTCTCTGTCACAGAATCAGAGTTCACCATCGGCTTTACTTTCGTCATCATCACTCATCTTAAAATATCCACGAAGCACTGAAATTTTTTGTCCATCGTCTAACGAGCAGCTCAGCTGGCATGAGGTTAATGTAATGCTACTGTTAAGTGGTATCAGTATGCAGAATAAGACAACTTTTACAAGTAGCGAGTACAGCACTAGAGGGTGTCATCAGACCCGATACAGGTATCTATACATCTGCTTCGGCTAAACAACACATTTAATCCTCAAAACAAATTTCAAAGATCTCTTTTTTGTTGACTCATTTCTATTATATAGTATTATTAGTCTACAAAAATAATATTTCTGCATTCCAACAATAATGTCCGCATTATAGAGACCTAGCTTGTAATGCGACAATGTAATTAAACTTAAAATGTTAATACTGCAGAAAGAATATTCTGTTCTCTCTGTTCCATATTAGTAAAGTTTACTATGTAGCATGTTACCCCTTGTGTCTCAGGTGTGGGTATGACAGTGCCATCATTCATTGAGATGTATGTGAGCCTGCTGAGACTAGGGCTGGAGCAGGTAGACTGAGGAGAGCGGTCAAGATTCTGATGTTTATCTGCCAGACCTCCATTGGACGAAGGAGGCGATCCAATACTGGGAAGACAAGACAACACAGAAGTGAAGTAATACATGAATAATGTCCTGTTCCTACCAGTAATAATATGCCTCAGCTAAACAAAATTTATTACACCAGACAAAACAGAGTAAATATTTAATATTAATGTGGCAGTTCCTTTATTGTCATTTAATCATCTATTTCAGATTACATTTAATCTGGGTCAAAGAAAAATACTAAAAAAAAACTCATTACTAATATTCAATACAATTTGCCTAGAGCATAGTGATAATACCTATCAGCACTGGGGACTGAGGTCTGACTTGGAGAGGAATGGGTGAGTGGCGCGGTGGATGGTCTAAAATTACACTGCGTCTCCTCAACAGAGGGCTCTGAGGAAACAGGTGTTAAGATACAGGTTTGTGATGATGTCTCACGAGGAAAATAAGTATGAACAATGTACTACATAATCTCTAGCTGACTGAATAATGGTGCAATCAAAAGCCACATTTCTGCATTGTACTTACCAGATGCAGGTTCTAGTGAAGGCTGGATGTTTTGGCTGGAGAAGCCAATATGTTTTTCCAAAGAGCTATGAGGTAGTGCAGCAGCCCTGATGTTCCCAGGTGGTGGTTTTTTCTCAGGGGAATTACTAGGTATGTCCTGTTGCTGCTGGCCTGCACGCCTCACCCTGTGAGTTAGGGGAGAGTAACTTTTAAGGCAAGGCAGGCTTGACTGCTCTTTCCTCCACTGTGGGGAAGTGCTGGGCAAGCCAGACAAAGCAGCAAAGATCTTCTCGCTCTTCTGCTGCGGTTCTAGAGAAGACCTAATATTCTCAGATGGTTGTGGGTTTAGTTCTCCTGGCTTGACATTTTCTGTGTGAGTCCTGTCTGAGAAACTACAAGTCTTGGTGGTAGAAGAAGTCGTCATTTCTTCTGTAGGAGGCCTGAATGTGGAAGACTGCCCTAAGCCCACCGAGCTTCTGGCAGAGCTGAAAGAGGACTGAGGAACAGAGCTTCTTTTAGGTTCATCTTTATTACCAGGTGCATTTGACAGGAACATTGCAGAGGAGCTAGTGTTTAGTGCTGTCTCCCCTCTTCTCTCTTTCTCCTCAGTTTTTGTACGTGTGGACTGTTGAGTTTCATTGTTCACTTGCCGAGATGAGCTCCCCTGTTCCTCAAGGTATCCTGCCTGAGGATTCCTGATGAGGTTGCCAGCCCAGCTGGTCAGGTCAAGGGTGGTGTGTGCCACAGAAGCATCACTGCTGTCAGACACATCTGTTTTTTTAAGATATTTCTCCATGTCAAAGGTGCTCAGCTCTCCAACGCAGGTGCTTCTCTGCAGTGTGTCCAAAAGAGCACTCTGATCTGGCTCAGATCGCATCTATGCAAAAGGTAAAAGAGTGTTTGTTTTTATCTTAAATAGCTATTTGATGAACACGTAAAGAAGAAATTAAGAAGTCACACTTTAAGAATATTATTTGAAAACAAAATCTAAGGAATTACTTTTTTGCTAACAATTGGTCCAACAGATCCAGAGGATGCAGGCCGATTACTTGCCCTACTCCTCTTGGAGAGCTCCATGATCATGACAGCTAACTGTGATGGGTCAGTGCTGATGGATGCGTCGGCAATAGCTGAGGCAATTGTGCTGATACTCAGCATGAAATGACTGCTATTATTATCCGGGCATGCGGAGCTTTGGTTACCCAGGCCTGACTCAGAGCTGGAGTCCTCAATGTGGTCATGGTCAGGCAGTGCAGTGTGGCCCTATAGAGGTAAAGTGCTTTTATATTGTAACCTATTAAACCATGCATGTCATCCTACAGTAAGATATCCAAACATTAATACATCAGAAACATAACTGTACCTGCTGTTCAGAGGGTTCTGGATCAATATCTCCTTTTGGTGATATCCTCTCACCTGGCACCTCGACAGTTTTGTCTAGATCCTCTGCAAGGAGATTATCATGAACAACACTCAAAAGTACTGTGTGAATCACACACCAAAAAAAATTTTTAATGCATGCTGTCTAGGGCCCGTAACACACTGGAGAGAGCGCAAAACAACAGTATGGAACATTCTTAAAAAGAAGAAATTAACTAGCAGGATCGGCAACATGGAAAACAACTAAAGTGGATGACTGCAGAATTCAGTCCACGGTGAAGAAGAACCTTTTCACAACATCTAGCCAAGTCCAGAGTGTTCTTGAGGAGGTAGGCATGTCATTGTCAAAGTCTGCAGTCAAGAGATGGCTTTATGGATGTAAATACAGAGGCTCCACAACAAGGTGCAAACCACTGGTAACACTCAAAAACAGGAAGGCCAGATTAGACTTTGCCAGAAACCTAAAAAAGCCTTCCCAGCTCTGGAATAAGATTCTTTGGACTGATGGAACCAAGATTAACTTGTACCAGAATAATGGGAAGAGAAAGGTATGGTGAAGAAAGGGAACAGCTAATGATCCAAAGCACATCACATCAGCTGTCAAATATGGTGAAGGCAGTGTTATGGCCACCATATATATGCCCATGTCGTGATGGCAATCCTCGAACCCGGTGGTGGACACCGGACGTAAGGGATGCCGTCAAGCTGAAGAAGGAGTCCTTTCGAGCCTGGTTGGCTCGTGGGACTCCTGAGACAGCTGACGGGTCCTGGCAG